GACCTCCATTGGTACTTCAGAGTGAGTGTTTCTAGTACCTTATGTGAGGTTTTTCCGGTTTCAAAGTGAGGCGATAAAAGTCGAACAACATGTGGGTTAATAACGGATAAATAACTCTGTTTAATTAGTTTGTGTGCGTATATAAAGTTCTATATATATGAAGGGACTTATAAAAGTGTACGGCATTGAATTTACCTTCTTACAGAGGAGGGGGTCGGAAGATCAGAGGACCCGGTTACGTCTTGACGAGAGAAGAAGGTATGTCTCATTATTTTGTACAAATTCGATTAAAGAGGTTTGCTAACAACATCGTTAATCATTGGGGTGCTGTACTTTCTTTATGTTGTGCTCTTTAGTTTATGTTTGTGCGTTGTGTCTAATACCAAGTTCGTTTATTAGTGTATATTATAGTCGACGTTTTCTGTGTCTGAAGAAGGGATTTGCACGAAGTGCGTGTGTGCGTAAAAGTGGGATGTCTATCACATTAGCAATGCATTCACGTGATCCCGAGGGCACCCTACTACGTGGGAACTCCCAGTGTACTCAATGGGTCCTTACTTATAAGTGAAACACGATAACTATTCGAGTTTTATCACTGAGGGTGTAACAGTTATGGCAAATGACGACATTCGCGGTTGTAATGATGGTATCCGACGTCCTTACGACGTTGTAGAGATTGATTGTACTTAAACGTTTGGTACATAACAGACCCCTTTATCAGGTCGACCCTTAAGGCGGACGAATTGCAGTCGTGTCCGCTGATAAGCTATTTTGCTAAAATTCGTGCTTGTGAGTGATTCGGCGTCTAGAGGAAGGAACCCATAGACGTTTCCCGTCTTTTCAGTGAGGTCCGTTCCTTTTAGTCCGTTCAAGTGTGTGTAAGATATATCCACTGATATTCTTGTGTAGATAACAGCTACAAGTGGCTGGAAAGGCTGCAGGACAAAGGAGTTTGTGTTCTCTATACTGGGCCTGTGTAAAGTTTGACTATTTGAAAAGCATCTCTAGGACTGCTTGAGAGCAAAGGTAATGTTTTCCTCGTTATTATTTGATATGAAGGTAATTTACATGTATTACGTATATTTAGCCAACTATAACAACTATATCTTAAAACATATTTTTAACTTGTGTGTGGTAACCTGAGGGGGGAAGGTGGCCACAGACATGGAACCATATAGAAGAATGTGTGTCTGCTGGCTGCAAGATGTGAGATAAGATAAACAAACTTGTTATTTGGAGCAGGTTCGTGCTGGACATCGAAGGTGTCTGTTCTTCATCAAACTGAAGAGACACTTTTGTTTTCCGGGTCTCCTAGCTGGCTCGCGCTGATTGGGTACGACAGGCCATGTGTGGGTCTCTTCCAATGGGAGACCCCTCTGGGGGAAGCATGCACACACCTCCTCCTATGTTTTTAGTATGATAGCCTGTGTTTTCTCTAAGTTCGGCCTCTTCTTCTTCATGCTGTCCAAGGGGTAAGACCTCTCCCAGCGAGAGGAACTAGAGCCGGAGTAATCCGGATTACTTCGTGATTGACGTTGTATTTGTGTTGTATATTTTACCATTAAAGCAGATTATTGTTGAACCTTTATCCTGGTTGCTTTGAATTCTTCCTCTGTTAATCTGGCCCATTCAGAAAGGAACGCGCGGAGCAGAGGTTCTGCTCCAACAAAATGGTGACCTCCGACGTTTGTGAGTGGGGTTTTCAGAGGAGGGTACACCAGCGACCGCATTGGGTCCAGGGGTCCACACCAAGAATATCTTTGACAACTGACAACAGGGTCCTGACAACCAAAGAGGTAAAACAGATGCCTTTTTTATATCAAAGATCTGTGATGGGCTGAACTAAACTACATTTTAGAGTTGTCAAAGACGTTCACAGTGTCATAGTCATTGGTGGTAAACAATACAATACATATGTTAGATAGGTAGGAAAGTTATATACATATAAAAGTAAAGCAGCGAAGTATTTCAGCGGGTATTGAGTCTCTAATGGCTGGAAGGGTATAGAGTCCCTAGCTTAAGTGAAGGTATCGAGTCCTCACAAGCTATACTTCCTGGGGGAGTCAAATGGTAGTATTGAGTCTCCATCCATGACTAATCAAAATAACAAATCCAAGGCTCATAGGAGCTGGAGGTGCGTTATATGTAAAAATCCAAGAGGAGAAAACGCGACCTTCAAAAGCCATTTGAAACGAACGGATCTCGCCATCTCTTGTTCTGTTGGGTTTAAACTCCCATTCTGTTGAAAGAAGCCCCCCTTCTCCTAAAAAGGCTGAGATCTCCAGCGGGGGAGAGGGGGGGGTGTCAATATTAGTCCGTGAAAGTATCTCCACCTCTTTCTGGTTCTGTAGCCTTTGTTGTATGAGAGCAGCAGCGTGTCTGTGTGCCCTTTTCTCTAGTGATCTGAAGTTGAAGAGAATACATTGAAAATTAATAGATCAATGTGTGATTTGAAGTAGTAGATATATTGAAATAAATAAGAAACTATAATTTGTTGTTTTTAGCATAGTTTTGTAGGATATAGTTACGTCACATTGTGGTTTTGATGAGAGGTTTTGAGAACTGATTGTCATTGCATTGTGAATTTCATGGTATTTGTCATTTAACTAAGAATTGCACTTAATTATATTTCAAGGAAAAATTATATTACATACAGTAACCTTAGGGGTAAGTAAAAAGGGGTTTACTGAGTATATGAAGTACATTAAAGTTAAGGCTTTATTTAAATTAAATATAATAGGTGGATTTTTCCACCTAGTATAAAGACATGGAAAGAGGAGAATTTGTTAGCTATAAGAACAACAGGCTTATCTAGGTTAACAGAAAATTGCTATTAACCAGTTTCAGCTGCAACTATCCTGTCTTTGTTCTCTAGAGAACATACGTTACATTTACAATTAATATTAAGAAAAGTTCACAATTGATACCATTAAAGACCGTTTGGGATTAATAGGATGAGTTTGTCATAAACATTCATGCTTAGATGGAATAAAAGTGTTGAGATGTTCTCAAGAGTAGGAGTTTTCACAATGCTTTTTAGTT